TTATTTGATAATGTACTCATAAAATGCAAATAATTAAAAAAAAACGGACTTACCACTAACTGTCTCAGCGCTTCACCTGGTGTGTGGAAGTTTATTGAACGTATTAAAAAAATCCACTTATAAATAGGGAACATAAGTTTTCTTATTAAAACCCACACTGCAGTTTCTTTGTATTTAAAGAAGGTGTTCAAAGTGTCATCCTCCACTTTCTACACAAGCTTCATTACGATCTTCACGGATGGTATGAGGATTTTCTTGAGCCCACGTGTGAGTATTATGGAAATTCAATATTCCGTCTCACGTAAAAGTACTTTCGTCCGTCGCTAGAATGTTTTAAAAAAAATACGGATTTTCAATGTTTTTGTGCAAAAACCACTGACAGAATGTCAGTATGCGAGAATAGTCTTCTGGTAACAAGGCCTGCACTCGTTGTATATGGTAGGGATAAAGCAAAATTTCCCGTAGGATTCTATGCGATTTCCACCATATTTAAAATTTGTTCCTCCTACTCTACAGTAACGTGTCTTTCAGGAGTGCGAATATTAGTGGGCTGAACACTTCCTGTAAGTCTTTGGTACTCTTACACAAATGTCCTTCTGTCTGGGTGTTCCCGTTGACGAAATCTGTCGCGTTAAATTTGAGCTTCAAGATTTTAATTCTGACGAGCTTCACCGTAAACTGACAATATGTCGGCGAACTGATTCGAGAACATTGTAAATCAAACCGACGACGTACGCGAACAAAAACAAAACAACATACTAACCACTGTTACCGTTTGCGATCGATTGCAGGTTCCATAAGAGTGGACTTACTGACTACAAATTTTGGTTTAACTTATAAAAACTTAATGCCATACATATATATATATATATATATATAGAGAAAAGGATCATTCGAAGAAACGTATATAACCAATAGAAAAAATAATAGGCACAATCCGCAAAAATAAAAGTAGATTCCAGCAGAAAATAGGACAAGGTATCCCGAGCGACTCGCTGCGTGGCTGTGGTTAGATGTCCCCTTGAAAATTCGAGGTCCTTTGGCTATTTTATACTACTATGTGTAGGTTGGCTCTTGTTGGTGACTTCGTGTGTCCTTGTTTCCCTGTCCATCTTCGTTTCCTTAGTTTACACCCGTTTCCGGATGTATGAGCATGTGTATCTACTTTTGTAGCTGCATATGTGCATTCATTTCGGGCCTGATGAAGCCAACGTATCGATGAAATACTTATCGTTCGAGCTTCCTACCCAATTTTCCGCCAGAATATACTTTCCTTCTTTTTGCGGATGTTGCGCATTATTTTTTCTATTTGTTATATCTACCTTTTAACTCACTCGGGTGTCGGGTATACATTATTCTTATCTGCTATACATCCACTTTTATCTTTTATCCGCCGCCAAAATGTTAGCACTTCTCCTTTATCTCTAGAATATTGTGTACCACAGAGTCCCATGTCTCCTGTGACCTTCCTCTTCTCCTTTTTCCAAACGCTTTGGCTTACCAGATTTTGTTCACTGGAACCTGTACTTTCATCCTTTGTAGATGGCCCCACCATCTCAGCTGTTCAATGAAATCCAGTAATGGAGTTATTTCTAATACCTTTCTCATCTCGTCGGATCTTGTCCTATCTTGAGAGGTGCATCGTTTCACTCTTTTCAGGTACTTCATTCCCGATGCTTGTAATTTGCCTTTTTTATTTTTCGGTAGTATCCATATACGAGAATTCAGAATTAAGAATAAACACACATTTATGCTTTTCTTGAAATATTTTTTTCATTGATAAATCCAAGGTTTATAGAACAGCCTTTGTTTGCTTTCTCTATTGTATAAATTGTACCCATTTCCTTCTATTGTTATACGTGAGCATTTTGTTCACCTGTTATGTTATTGTCCCAACAACTTCGATTTTTACTTTACTACCATTACTATTGTTTTGGTATTGTTCAGCATCATACCGTATTTGGTTAGCAAACAAGCAACAATGCATTGAAGTTAAATTTTCTTCGCTGTTTGAAAACACCAAAACATCATCAGCGAATCCACATTCTGTGATATCTATTTTTTTGCAAATTGCTATAACCAGTATATATTGTACATGTAAACCTTTTACTCTCATTGATAATGTCTACTCCCGTAGAAAATAATAATGGATTCATTGTTTCTCCCTGTGTTACCCCTTCTCTAGATTCAAATATTAATGACTTCAGATTTTTTCCAATTATACAGTTTTCAGTACATGCTCTTTATGACTCTAATAGGCGGACAGTATAGTCAGCCTCTCCTACAATAATTGTAGGACGCCTTTAAGGCCGCGTTGATTTCCATAGTTTTCTACTGATTGGTGTCGGCAGTCTACTTTAAGGTTATGTTATAAGTAACTGTTTGCATCAAATTGTTCATGCTTTTGATTTATATCATCTTTTATATCAGCTTGAAATTTCCTACAATTCAAAAAGAAAACATAGCCTCACAGTAGGGGAGCGCTGACACGGAATAGTAGAAATCTAGAAATACCACAGCCTTCCCGGAGGAGGGAAAAGACTATGGAATCAAGGAGGCCATACAGGCGTCCTGCAATATTGTAGGAACGACTGGCGAAACGGCGTTAAGTCCATAAGAACCATGTGTTCTTTTCTATTTCGAATTAATGCTTTGCTTATATTATTTTGATTTCGTATGGGATTTCCTTTTTTATACAAATTGTACAATGTTTCGCTAGTTTGACAAATATTTTTGAGGAACCCGATTTAATTCATTACATACATTACTGGGAAAATACCAATTAGTTCAATTTGCTACCTAGGACAAATGCTTATCTTCGCGTGTCAACAGTAAAATAGAGTCTTAGCATTCCAAAAACCCAACGCATCAACTCTAGAGCGGCAGAGATTTTTTGCTGATCACAGATGATTCTTTAATAATTTCTACACCCTACAACAAAAAAATACCCTCCATCTATCCTTTCTCTCAGAAACAGGTCACTTATCATTAAGCAGCCATCACCTCCCCTTCTTACAACCTCGAGCCATCAAGATTTTTCTCACGGATACAATATAAAGCGGTGGTAGGCAGCCACAAAGCATATCCTCCTTTTTGTTGCCATCAGTGGCATTTCGTACATCATTAGAACAGGCTGTATCAGATCGAAAATTGTTAAATGGATTATCGACGTGAGAGGAATAGCAGCAAGCTTGGAAGGGGATGAGTATACTCTTCTTTTCCGCTGTAGTAGGAGCTGGCAGCTCCATTGGAGCGATGTATGAGCCCCTTCCCACTTCAGTTGGCCCAACTATTGAAATCTTAGTATTTTTCTTATCAAACACAAATAATAAAAATGTAGCAGGGTGTTATAGGTTTAAAATATTAACAATGCATATTTTGATAATATATAGTAGAAAACACCAACTTTATCACTCCCTAATTAAATTTGCAGCATAAAAATAACACATGTTGCAATTACAGCATATCAACCTATTTTCATTTCAATGCAAAATAAGTCCATTACGCATAGGTGGCTGTGAAAAACAAAAGCCATGACAATTGTTTTTATTAACTACAGCTGTCATAATACGTTTAAAATAGTTTTGGGTAGTTAAGGTTTTCAAAATGGGTAGAGGAAAGGTTATTAGTGAGAAAATTCGGTTACTGATAATTAAATTTTTTAATTTTGGGAAATCAAACTCAGAAATTGCAACTTTGTTAGACTTATCGCGGTACAGCTTGAGAAATATTGTTAGAAGGTATAACGTAACTGGTTCAGTTAATATTAAGCCACAATGTGTGAAAAAAAGTAATATCACAAATGCCGACCGAAGAGCATTAAGAAGAATAATCGTGAAAAACAGGCATGTCAATTATTTACAATTAAGTGCTCTGTGGAGTGACGCTGTTGGAAGGAGAAATTCGAGGTCCACAACTCATAGAGAGGCCCACAAACTGGGACTTAGCACTTGCAAGGTAAGTTTTCTTATAAAAAAAGTGAAGTAATAACCCTAAAGTTGCACAACTTGTTTATAGGCCAAAGAAAAGCCACAATTAACTCCACTGCCAAAGAAAAATCGGCTTAGATGGGCTAAAGAAGATAGACAATGGACACTTCAACAATGGTGTGCAATACAGTGGAGTGATGAGGCCTGATTCGAAGTTTGTGTTGGTGACAGTCGCAGTAGAGTTATTCGCAAAAAAATGAAGCATTCCATGTTGACTGTCTGAAGAGAAGAGTGAAATTTCCAGCATCCATTATGGTCTGGGGCAGTATGTCATCAAAAGCAGTAGGAAAACTTCATTTTATTGATGGAAATGTGGATACAAACAAATATTTGTCAATTTTAGAAGAATCGCTTTTACCAGTGATGGAAGAATGTTTGACATCCGGCCAAGATTTTGTGTTTCAGCAAGATGGTGCAGCGTGCCATATCTCAAAAAAGGCTATAAAATGGATGGAAGAAAATAATATACCACTTTTGAAATGGGTTTCTAGCAGTCCAGATCTGTCACCTATTGAAACTTTGTGGCACCATATGAAAAAGGTTCTACGACAACATCCTGCTCGTACAATCACCGAACTGAGGCAAAAGCTTCAAGAAATATGGGATTGTTTTACACCAAATTTTTGCCGAAATTTGGTTAACACTATGCCCCAAAGAATTTCAGCCGTAATAAAAAATAAAGGTGATGTTACCCAATGGTAATCTTTCAATTGTTGCTTTGTTAACTTCGCGCATTTATTAGCCCATTATTTATTTGTTCAGATGTTGTATTAGTTATAGGTCTAAGTGATTTCAAATATGTATGTTTTACGACTAGAGTGTCTCGTGTTTCGTCATGTTTAGTTAGTAAAGGCATATTTTGGTACAAATCTTGAAGTGTGCCAACTGAAGTGGGAAGGGGCTCCTACCTATTTAATCTTGTAACAATCTGCTGCGCACATACAGGGTTTGCAAATTTGGAAATTTCCTTTGGTCTCGGAAAAATAAGAGGTTTTAGTCCAAAGTTTCAAGATGAGCGGGATCAAACCCAAACCAAACCTGATCCGTTCCTGTATTTGGATCAGATCAAAAGTGAAAAGGTAAGTTCATTATTGAACCCAGCCACCGGAAGCGTAGGTAAACAAAACATGTCTCACACCAAAATAGCACACTCGTACAGCAATGTATGCAGATCGCTTTTCCAGGCACAGGTCGTATGCAGGAATGTCGAGGTGGGCACACTGGGAGGCCTAGACATCCCCACATGGTGCAAACTGTGGAAGGAGTATTGGATCTTTTAGAAGAAAGTCCTTCAATGAGCACTAGGGAAGTGTCTAGAGAAGTGCGAGTCTCCCAAACTGAAGTCAGACAAACGCTGCGTGATGTTGGTTTGTTCTCTCTGGTAAATGGGATGCTCATTGGTCCTTTTATTCTCCCGAGTTGGCTGGGTGGCTTAGAATATTTCGACTTTCTACGAAGCATTTTACCTACTTCGAGCATTACTTATGAGCCATAGAGCCATACTTGAGATGTCTCTGCAAATTAACTTTTCCATTTATCTTTTTAACATTCCGCTAGTGTTGCACCCCACATTAGCTTTGTTATTTTAATCGTATAATCGTAATTGATTCTGAAAAGAAATGTTTAACTTTCAGGACACGCTATATATATATATATATGTATATATATCCTTGAATTTCTTTGGGTAGAAGGCAAATTTTTGCTCAAGTACACTCTTACAACTTGAACTTGAGCTTTCGATGGTCTATGCTATCATCGTCTGGAGCTAAAAAACAATTTTTGAACAATAGCAACAATAAACAATTATCAGGAAAAAATATAATTACTTACTAAGTCGGCGAGATTGTTGCTGAAATTGTTATTCAACGACAGAGTTGCACAATCTAGAGAGTTTTGGTGGTAGGTCTTTAATATATGGCAGGATTGCAAAATTAACTCTGGAAATAGAGGATATCTCTGTATTGTTAGAATGATTGTCATTGTTATTGTTGGACTCAGGAAAGAGGAAATCTCGAAGGATTTTTCAATAGTTGATAGATTTTCAAGTTCTTCCAAATCAGTGGTTAAAATTAAAAAAAAAACATAGCTATGGTTTGCCATTTACTCATAAAGTAGAAATAATTCCGTCCTAATCGAACCTCATCGGTCCAGTTTTTTGTTTTTTGTACGTCTACTATGTGCTCCCTTTCACTGTCGTTTAAGAAAAATTTCAGCAACAATCTCTCCGACTTAGTAAGTGATCATATTTTTTCCTGATAATTGTTTATTGTTGCGATTTTTCACAAATTGTTTTTTAGTTCCAGATGATGATGGCATAGACCACCGAAAGCTCGAGCTCAAGTTGTAAGGGTACTTATATATATTTTCTTCTAACAGTTAAGGCAATTAACTATGAATACTATATACAGGGTGACTTCGAAGTTGAGTCATTTATTTTAACAGTGAGTAGATCTGATCAAAAGAAATGTTTTTTTCTTTTAACATTTTTCTGGTAAAATTAAAGTAACAAAGTTATAGCCCTTTGGAAGTTTGAGTACCGCCCTGTCTCAATAATAATATTATGTGCTCGTGTTTGGCAACAACGGATATAATCCGCCTTATCGGTTCATCGCATCGGAAACAAAAAAGCGAAAGAATTTGGAACTATGTTTTTACAATTATTTTATTCAGTTGTATACAGTCAGTGTCAGTCGGTAACGCGTGAGTGAATAGTGGTGTCTGTTGCGTGGCTCAAACGAAATCAAAAATGGCACATATTTACGAAAATGCTGAACTTGTGGACAAGATTCTTATTTACGCGGCATCACGGATTTATGCGGATCGGTCTCCCAATCGAGTGCAACCAACCCCGCGTGCCTTTGTTAATGTAGTACAAAGGGCTCGTGAATCAGGTGACTTAAGACCTCACAGGGGAAGGCATGCCGGTGCTCCAAGACCGCATGATCATATACAGGTCCGCACTGAAATACTTGTTGGGAGGATACTTTATAAAACAAGGTAACACTTTTTTTTATTTTTTTTTTATTTTTACACACATATTTTGGTTTATCTTCCTTCTACAATCATTATCTGAAAAAATGACTCAAGTTCAAAGTCACCCTGTATATAGATAAACACATCTATGGCTTGAAATGTAACTTTTGAGGCCAGGGATATGAGGTTTAAGCTGACTAAAATTAGTAGAACTGAGAAAGGTCTTTCTACTTACTATTTTTAGTTGTATTGGGTTATACGGAGCTATATCATTGACCCGCAGTTGATGCCAGAGTGGTTTGACACCGCCTGTTACTGTGCTTTGGAGTCACTAGGCTGTACTAAATTACCGCATCCAAGGCAGCGATAAATTCAGAGCCTTTCGTGAAAGAGAAAGTCGTTACTACTGCTCTTCTCTTCAGTTCAGCCGGAAAGGCCACACAGGAACTCGATTTTAATAATCCGGGGCGCAAATTTGCATCCAGTGTACAAAATTGACTAATCAGAAGGCACTTTTAACCCTACGTTAGTCGCGCGGTCTACGACTGTAGACCACGTCTGTTTGAACGACGCTATTTTTGGGAAATAAGTCATTTCGCATGCGCGCCGCTGAATAGCTGTGGTCGACACTCAAGTCTATACGTTCAGTAGACAAGTCGCAGTGAAATAGTCAGCTGGTAATTCTTACGCACGTCTGAATACGATTGGTCTACGATTGTAGACCCCGCGCGTAACAGTGCGACGTTATTCGTCAAACACGCAGTTGAATTGTTTAATAACAATTTGTTATAAATTAGGTAAGAGATATTCTTTCATTTACTACTTAGAATTATATTTTTATTTGTCAAAAATAGATTTTAGTTTGTATTTCTACAAGTGTATGTATTATTTTGGCAAAATAATGGTGTAGTTATAATTTGTTTCAGAAAAAAAATGTCTGATTCCAAGAGAAGGTGTGTAGAAAGAAGTAGGGATCCAGATGTTTGGCTTAGATGGTATGAAGAGTTATCAAGTGGGGAGGAGAGTCCATTAGATGAAAATGAGGAAGATGAAGAAGAGAAAAATGAAAATATAGTGGAAAGAAGTGATCATGAGACAGACTCAGAAATAGAATTCTCATCAGATCTAAATAAAAGTCCATCAGAGAGCGACGGTGAACAAACTGATAATGGCGGTAGCAAATTTTACATAGGGAAGGATAAAACGACTAAGTGGAGGAAAGAATGTGGTAATGTACAAGTGAGAACGCGTGCTCATAATAATATCACACATTTACCTGGATCTAAAGGTGATGCCCGCAATGCAATGCTTGCGATTGACTGCATAAAACTTTTTGTGTCCGACGCCATTATACGAATTCTAGTTTGTTCAACAAATATATATATATTGAGAACATAAAACATAGATTTGACAGGGATCGAGACGCTAGATTAACTAACGAAACAGAGATAAGAGCTTTGATAGGTATTTTGTTTTTGATAGGAACACTGAGAAGTTCAAGAAAAAATGCTCGTAAAATATGGGATAATTCTAAGGGCAATGGAGCTGAATCCTGTTATCTCGCGATGAGCGAAAAACGATTTCGATTTCTCCTCCGTTGTTTGAGATTCGACGATATTACAACGAGAGCTGAAAGAAGAGAACTGGACAAATTAGCACACATTAGGAATGTTTTCGAAATTTTCTTGGCTAATTTTCAAAACAATTTCATTCCTAGTGGATATTTGACTGTTGACGAACAATTGTTGGCCTTTAGAGGGCGCTGCTCATTCAAGCAGTATATACCCAATAAACCAGCGAAGTACGGAGATGTTCGCTCTGGTTGATGCTAAAACTTTGTACACTTTCAATCTCGAACCATACGTTGGTACTCAACCTGCTGGCCCGTATAAGTTGAACAATTCTGCCGAAGATATTGTATTACGAATAGTTCAACCAATAGAGGGAACTAATCGCAATCTTACCGGAGATAATTGGTTCAGCAGCATTCCGTTGACAAGAAAATTGCTACAGCAAAAAAAATTAACATACATTGGTACAATGCGGAAGAATAAGCGTGAGATCCCTGTGGAGTTCTTACCTAATAAACAAAGAGAAGAGAAAACATCATTCTTTGGTTTTCAAAAAGATATTACGATGGTATCCTACTGCCCAAAGAAAAGTAAATCTGTTATTTTGGTGTCCTCCATGCATCATGATAATGCCATTGATCCGGAAACAGGGGATGCAAAAAAACCAGATATAATAACTCGATACAATAAAACTAAAATTGGTGTTGATTTGGTGGATCAATTATGTGTGAATTATAGTGTCGCAAGAAACACATGCCGTTGGCCTATGGTAATATTCTTCGATCTATTGAATATATCGGTCATAAACGCCGTTTGCGTGTATAAAGCAAATCATCCCTTAGAAAACAAAGTCCTTAGAAGTGCATTTATTGAGGAATTTGCTTGGGAATTGATCAAGCCGCAGATAGAGGCGAGGTCAATTATCACCTCTTTACCGGTAGAACTAAGAAGACGAGCACGTGCTCTTCTTGGTCTTGAAGCTATTGTAGCCCCTCTTCCTCTACCGCCAAAACCAGAAAACTACGTTGGTCGTTGTCATGTTTATCCTCGAAGTCACAACAAATCTTCCAGAAAAGCTTGCGTGAAATGCAAACGTTATGCATGCAAACAACACATGGCAGACATATGCATTCACTGTTTGCCCGACTGAAAATATTCTTACTTTGTCCTTACTTTTCTAATGAATGTCAAAGAGTTTTTTTTATGTTAATGTAAGTTGCTATCTGTTAATATCAGAAAATTACTTTTGGTTGAATTTTAGCGCGTTAAGATTTTGTGTTGTTGTTCAAAGCTAACCAGAAGCTAATAAAGGGATAAAAAACATATTTTTTGTTTTTTTTTCTCCAGTAACTAAAAATGTAAATGCTTTTAAAAATTTAATTTACTTTGAATATCTAAGAATACATGTATTTTCAACATTGTTTTGAAATCATGTGACATAAGGTGTCACATAATGACATTAGAAAATGGTCTACATATGTAGACCACGCGATTAAACTCATTACAAAATACCACGCGCCTAAAGTAGGGTTAAAGTAATAGTTTCAATGAATATAATGAACTTCCTGTAAAATATCTTCCAAACAAGAGAAAAATTATACGATTTGTGCTAGTTGAGCACCTAACTCCTATATTCAATCAATAAATACTTCATAAATCACCTGGTTTAGCTAAAAATAGTTATTTATTATACAAGTACTACATTTTAGCTTGAGGTTGTATTGCATTGTCTCCCGACGCGCAGCGCTAGAATCTAGTATTTTTCCCGTGTATAATACATAACTTTTTTTCTGTGACGGGAAAAACGACGATTTGATATTGAAAAATTATATTATTACAATATTTAAGTCAGAAAATTATCGGTGTGAGATTTGAATTTTGTAACTAGTAGGCTATATTGTTCTTATAGGAACAATTACACCTGCGTTGCTAAGGGAACTTTTAAAGTAATCAAATAGCTGTCACTTTAATTATGTGATTTGACTTAAAAGTTGAGAACTTATGGTTGTTGAGTAGTTATTCTTAATACTATAAAATAAAAAATGTCTGATTCCGAGTCTTTTTTTGACTCCACCGGAATTAGTAGAAATAGCCAAAGTAGTGTCACAAAAATTATTGACAGCTAAATATGTGATTCTACAATATCCGGGAAAAAAGTACTCTCTTTTTTCCCGGGGAAAAAATAATTTTTTAAAAATCGACACTTTGTTACCTGTCAACAGAGATAAAATGTCAAACTTTTCTATCGTCACAGAAAAAACCTATTATTTTTCATTTGACCCCGGCCAAAAATTTTCAACTAGGACACAATTGCCATCAATCGTGAAGAAGGAGTTAAAAAGCGATGTGTGCGTTGCTCGAATCATGAATCAAACCTAAAATACAAAAATCTTTTTTTGTTCTATTTTACTCTACAGAAACACTTTAACTGCATTTTTTCATAGTCTTCCTGATATATTTAAATTATTCTTTCAAAGAAATAACGCGGTAAAGCAGAATTTTATTTTGATTGAATATAATCTATTTATATTGAAATTTAAATAAATAGCAAAAAAGTAAATCTTTTAACATCTAATAATTCAATTTAATAACTGTATAGTTACATTTAATAATTGAGGTCAGTGAAAATAATTATGTAATTAAGCTAAAAACAACAGTTGTTAAGATAGACTGAGAATATTTTTCAAAATCATTCTTTCGCAGAACAAATAATTGTCCATACTCATTCACAAATATAGAATTATTACCTAAAAAAATAAATAACTAAACATCGTAGTAGGTTGTAAAAACAGTACTTGCATCATACAGAAAATAGAAGCCGTATATTAAATGCGAAAGTCTTTCGCGGCCATCACCCAATGTTGTTTGGTTGATTTTTGGATAGTTAGGCCGTCTTCAGAAGGTGTTCACAGTTCAGATTCCTGGGAGCTGTGGCGGTACGTCAAGTAAAAAGATTTTGCGACGGCATAACAACCCAAAAACCAACCAAATAGCAAAAGCAGTATATTTTGAAAACTACTGCTTTTTTTCTGACAACTGATTTACTACTTTTATGCTTCGGAAATGTGCTTAATAGGATATGTCAGACAAAGTGAAAAATTACTATTTTTGTTAACGTGATCAATGATAGATGACAGAGAAAATACAACACCGACCAGGAGTGCTGTAATTTTGAGCATACTTTTACAAGTTTTAGGTCCACTGATAAATATAAGTGATTAAAATTGTACCTCAAAATTTGGTAAAACAGCTGAGATACCCCACCTTAACGATAATAATGTGTTGAAGCTTCTCTGTTTGCTACACGTTCGTCGCGGCATTGATTGGATTAGATGATTGATGTCTTCTTGGTCAATTATATCCAGGCTATCTGAATTTGATTTCGTCGAGCCTCCAATGTTTGTGGAGGGTGTGGTGACTTTTGCAACCTTCTTCCCATTATGTCCCATACATGTTCGATGGGGGAAAGGTCTGGAGATTGAGGAGCCCACTGAAGCAGATTTATTCAGGATGCTTCTACAAAGTCTAACCTAATACGTGCGACATGAGGTCATGCATCGTGCTGCTGAAACAGTGGATCTTGCAATGTTTATAAAACAGGAAGCAGATGTGGTTGTAAAACTTCGTCGATAGAGCGATGTGCAGTCATGCTACGTCGAATGGACACTAATCGTGACCTGCTGCCATAAGCAACGGCACCCCATACCATAACACCCACAGTGCGATGAATATGCTAAAGAAATATTGGACGTTACGTATTTCACCACGTCTTCTCCTTATCCTTGCACGGCCATCGTGTGTACCCAAACAGAATCCGGACTCATCGCTGAACACGACTGAGTTCCATTCCATATTCCACTCCCCCTACTTAATACCAATCGTTGCCGACGATGCTGTAGAGTCAAACATAGTACAAGATAGGGATAGTATAAAAACAGTCCAAAAGAATTTATTCGGCGATAAACTGTCCTCATTCTTATTGCCCTTTCGAGAGCATCCAGTACCTCTAGCTCGTCGATTTCGGCCCTCTTGAAACCACGCTCAGTAACATCTCATTAACTTCGCTTCGATTCACTACTATAGCATGATAATGCAATGAAACAACAATGCAACAAATAGAACCAACACAGAAAAATCACTGAATATAAAGTAAACATATTGTTCGGATCCTGATATGGTAAAAAAAAACCTTTACAAAATTCAATAAATAGTTCTGGGTGTTGCATTTTATATGTAATTTAGTATATTTTATAATTGTGATAATAAAAAGCGACAAAATGTTAGGAAGGGCAGTAAATGAATTTTAGAGACATGAATATTAATATACTGCAAGATATCAAATTAGTAAACAAATACCTCACTGTAATTAGAGCAACGGATTCATATCGCATATAGATTTACCAACAATAGTAGTCAATAATAGTTCTAGTTCTTGCATTGCTCATTGTTTCTCCAAACAATTTTCAAATTTCTTCCGGTACATACCATTAATTGTTGAAACCCATATTACCGATCATTTACCCACTGTAATACTTATATCATCACCAGAAAAAAATAATAGTAGATCCACGTCCAATAATGAAACAGTGAAATTTAGGTGTTTTGTCGATAATAATGAACTACTTGCAAATTAGAATCGTGGACAGCAGTGTACTGTGCAACAAATGTTAATGTTGCTGCAAACACACTCAATGAACGCATAACACATTTAATTGACCGAGTTAAAATTAAACATTTTGACAGAAGCAGGAATCCATGTTTAACTAAAGGTTTGATAAAGTCTGCCAACAAAAAAGAGGAACTATGGTGCAGATACCACCCGTAAAT